CAAGAGTGTCCTACAAGACTGTCCCACAAGAGTGTTCTACAAGAGTGTCCCACAAGAGTGTCCCACAAGAGTGTCCCACAAGAGTGTCCCGCAACAGTGTCGCTCAAGAGTGTCTCACAAGAGTGTCCCTTAAGAGTGTCCGACAAGAGTATCCCACAAGAGTGTCCTACAAGAGTGTCCCACAAGAGTGTCCCACAAGAGTGTCCTAGAAGAGTGTCCCACAAGAGTTTCCTACAAGAGTGTCCCACAAGAGTGTCCCACAAGAGTGTCTCACAAGAGTGGCCCTTAAGAGTGTCCTACAGGAGTATCCCACAAGAGTGTCCTACAAGAGTGTCCTGCAAGTGACCCACACAAGTGTTCTACAAGAGTGTCCCACAAGAGTGTCCTACAAGAGTGTCCCACAAGAGTGTCCTACAAGAGTGTCCCACAAGAGTTTCCCACAAGAGTGACCCACAAGAGTGCGCTACAAGAGTGTCCTACAGAGTGTCCCGCAAGAGTGTCCTACAAGAGTGTCATTTGGACATATTAGTTTTTCGAACGTGTTTGCATTCGGGTTCGTGGGTTCCATTTTGTTTTTGGAAAGGGTTTTATGTTCTTTCCTTATCAACCCCTTATGTTGTTCTTCACCGGAACTATCGCGTCGCAGCCTCAAGGGCAAGGGCTGTTTTGCTTCAGCGCACGCAACGGTGGAAACACTGGCTATTAGAAATCATGGTTTCGATAAAGATTAGATTTGATTTTTACAAAAATCCCCAGGGATGTTCTGTTCGGCCATGAATGGACCAGGGTCCTTTGATTCGCAAGTTCTGTTGGGACAACCAATGGTGTCCGTTCTCTTTAAGCTGAGCCTGCAGAGTTTGCATGCTCAGGATACCACCCTTCATCAATTCAAAAGGCAACTCCTTTGTGAGCTGCGGCCATGTGATGAAATCACATACAAATTGACCAGGGTGGATGTGATTTTGGGGCTGGAGAAGCTAGAAGATGATGCGAGCACTCTGGTTGATGTAGGCATTTCCGCTGGTGCTGAGGTGGGGAGATCAAACCTTTTCATAAGAACATGATTGACGTGTTTTGCTTCAAAAATGCAAGGAGGTCGGCACGCAACTGATAGTCATTGTCCGATGTTTTCCCTTCGGTTGGGAAGTTTGGCCCGCTGTTTGCGGTGTTCGCAAAACATGTCCAAATTCGCTCTCTTTGGGCCACTTCTTGTTCCAGGTAGAGGTCCTTTTCAGAGCTTTGGAGCCTGTCGAATGTGGAGCCTTCTGGGAATGTGGTCTTCTAACGCGGGATGTACTTGCTGTCACTATCCCCAGCTCAGTGACTGCGATTGTTGTTGGAGCCTTTGCTGGCTGCATGGCATTGGTGAAAGTGGACATTCCCAACACAGTGGTGCAGTTTCCTGGAATTGTTGATTAGGTCACGTTTTGCATTCTTCCAGTAGCGGGACAAATTTCTGTGGATATGTTTCTTGCTTCTTCTTTCCGGGACAACTCCCTGGGCGCAAGTTTAAGGATTGGAGTCTGTGCCTTCAAGAACTGCATCTCGTTGGAAAGCTTGACAATCCCTAACTCTGTGACGGACATTGGAGCTGCGGGCTTCGAGAGCTGTAGATCATTGAGAGCAGTGACCATCCCCAAGTCCGTGACATCGATGGGACCCCACGCTTTCATGAATTGTAGCTCATTAGAAGAGCTGGTCATTGCGAACTCTTCAGAGCTTTGCAACATTGGAGACTTTGCTTTTGCCCATTGCAGCTCGTTGAGACATGTCATCATCCCAGACTCTGTGACTGACATTGGAGAGGGTGCCTTCCAAAATTGCAGTTTGTTGGAAACGTTCGCCATCCCTAATTCTGTGACCGTCATCAAAGCTTCAACTTTCGAAAACTGCAGCTCCTTGAGAGCAATGACGATCCCGGACTCTGTGACTTCAATTCAAACTGGTGCCTTTCGCGGCTGCAGATCCTTGCGAGAAGTTGTCCTCCCCGATTCGACAGATCTTGCAGGGGATGCCTTTGAGTCCACAACTGTGCTGTCCAAGAGGCAATGCGGTGAATCTGAGGGGCGAGGTCAAAAAGGGAAGATGACATGCGGTAAAAAGGACAAACAGCTTCACACATGGCGACCAAGGAATGGAATATGACTATGACTGACTTTTTGGGATATCTCCATGAGCCAGGTTCTTTGTAAAATCCATAGAATTCGGAAGACTACATTTAAACCACTAAAGTAGAGGAAGTTCCTTTGACCGCCAAAACAGTGCGATGCACCAGCTTGTTACTTGTGGACAACACTCCGTGCCGTCACATTCCCTGTGAGCTGATTGACATGAAAATGCACGTCTTTGTGTATCCTGGGCGTGAAGTTGAGATCTAGTGAGGATCACCACTCTGAAGATACATATTGTACAACACACTCTTTTGTCATCAAAAAGGAGTCGGGTGAATAACAAACCAAGAACTACAAAAGGAACAGCAACATTTGTCATCCTGCAAAGCTGTTTTCTTTTTTCCCTACTTGTAATGTGCGCATGTGAGGGTCTCTAGATTCCATGTCAGTGTGCTGTACTCCTTGTCCATTTCTTGCTTGCTCCTCTTCTTCTTTTCCTCCTTCTCCGCCATGATGTACTCCTTTGCAGCATCACGTCAATTGTGCTTGTTCGTGCGCTGGTGCAGCGCAAGTTCGCGTAATCAGACAAGATGCCAGAACACATGTCAGAACACATGCTTGATGCTCCAACAAAACATCAGAACACTTGCCAGGCATATCCGGACATATGTCGGGATAGGCTTTGCTGTGGTTTTGCTTGGTCGCCGCCGCTGGTCCGCTGCATTTCCGCTGCTGCGCACCCACTCGGATGACTCGATTCATCGATCTCAACTCACTGCCCTTTGCTCCTAGCAGCGTCCTCTACCCCCACAAGAACTGGCACCTTTTTAAGGTGCCAACATCGCTTTGGCGCTGAAAATTCTTTCGGTTCCTGAATTTGTAACGATGGTCACTGTCATGAATAAAATGTTCAAGCTTCAAAGCCAAGACTCTTGCAGAAGCTTCGTTTTGTGTCCAAAGAAAGGGAACAGACACCCGGCAAACCACATGCTACACCACTGCCTCCTTGTTTGTCATTTTTGCGGCAAGGTGTGATACCAGCGGACCTGTTGAAAATGAAA